ACGCTCCAGAAACTCGTCGGATGGCTTGTCCCCTAGCATCTGATCTAGTCGTGATTAGCTTCATGATAGAAGTGATGAGGGGTTGTGTTGAGAGATGAAGACGATACAGACGGCGGAAGCGATTGAGAATCCTCCTCGAAGTGAGGACTTTGTTACTCAATCTCGGCTCCGCCAACTCTACAGTGAGAGCTGGAGGCTCGTAGGGGGCACCACTGACAGGTGTTGAGAATAGTCTGCCGATGGGTGACATGTACCACGCACTTAATGAAAAAAACAAAAAGTGTTGTGATCTAACACCGTTCAATCTGCGGACTTTGTGGTGAACAGTTATTACATCTCACGTGATGGAACAGGGGAGCGAAGTAAAAGAGGGGACACGCCACTAGGCAAATCTAAGCAATTACGGGCACATGTGGAACTGTAGCACATTCTCTGTAGTTAGACATAACAAGCAATTATCATCAGATAATTAAATCAACCTCCACACAATTGAGACCCATAGAAGTGCCAAACTTTCATACAACCCTCAATTGTATTGTCGCAATCGCATCTGTAACGAGCCACCACTGCATTCTAGAATACACTCTCTAACTGTGATAAGCTACACCGCCAGGTCTAGCAAACAAATTACAATAAAAAGCATCTGGGATCTAATGTTAAAATAGACAGTTCCTCAAACCCAGGCGCATCAGTGGCTACGCTACCGAATATCTTCTTTAAGGCCGTTCATGTCACGGCGACTTTGCTAAACACTACGGCTACTTCAATCTCTCGCATGCTCTGCTTACCTACGATTGCGAGCAGGGATAGTTTCCTAGTCACATCTTTTATCAATTCAGTTCCGCCTTCGCGGCGCAACTAAACATTTAACGCGTGTAATTCCATGGGTTAGAGGATCTTCCTGCCTCATCATCCTATACCGGCCAATCACCTTTATCTCGACGTCAATTTCATTCCCAAACACGGCGTATGTCGGATAATGCTGCTTATTCTGCCTCTATTTAGCCTTTCCAGTCGTTCTTCAAGCAAGTGAGCCCCTATATCAACTCCTCGAGTGCCAAATCTTGGTCATCTTGAAATAGAGCTTTCGTCCGCTGGGGATGAGCCGATGCTAGTTTCAGACCTTTCGCCCTTACCACTAGCCATACTTTCGAGCAAAGAGTGAAAAGTCTGACGCTTGGATCTTATACCTCTTCCATATAGAATGTGATGCCAAAAAATGCAAAGTCATATAGAGGGTAGTACGACTTCTCGAGAAATAATGAGTGCTTTAATGTTGAGTTATTAAGAATTTCTCTTGAACTACTCAATTAGAGGGAGGGATTTCCAACCACTCATAAACTTGATCTGTGAAGTCGCTGTTATAGTAATTAATTGTAGGACAAAGGGCATAAACTAAATGCCCATTAGTCCACTTAAATTTATGAGAGTACTCTTGTATCTCGTTTTAACTATTGTTCAGATGAAATGAATATGCATGGCTATTCGTGTTTGATTTCATTTAGGACGTTCAGGTATGTCTAGCTATCATATTTACAAAGGAGCAAACCAATTGGGTTAAGACCCCCCAAAGCTATCTGACTCATGTCTACTGGTTTTCTTGGGGTTTCCTTTAGGAAGTGCGTTTACACTGTTCGTCCAGTGTGAATACCGTCCTATCCTTTTCCCCATCGCGAAATCCTTTCACTGACTGCCATCTCAACTTCTACTGCAAGCTGGAACTGTCCCAGCCTGCCTTTTGCCAGGATTCATTTTGTGACTCTCTCCATATTATTTGGACAGTTCATCATCGCCGCAAATGATCTTCCTTTTGCCTGTCGAAGCACCTCTCCTCTTCCCCTATCTCACTGAGGATATGCGAGGACCATATTTTTGACATTTCGAATCGGATATCCCTACTGGCATTCTGAATTAACCATTCAGGGCACTTTCCGTCGATACAGATAAGAATTGAGACCAATGTGCTCACTTCTTATCCAAACTACAATACTGCTTTGGACCCTACTAAGGTTCCGGCGGATATTTGAGGCTGTGTTTCCATGGGAAATCCTTTTTCTACTTGTTGTCTTATCTGTAACAATATTCGAGGCTTTCCAATGTTCAGGGTCTGCCGAAGCTCGATGACCAGATAGTATCTCGTTCCCTGGACATGTCCATGAGTTTTTCCACTCCTAGAAAGCTGCCACCATATAAGTATCTTTTGGTGTACATTTCGCATTCTCCTCGCCACAAATTCTGGCCCATTCTACAATGTTTTCATGGCTAGACGTAGTGGAAGCTAGAATGGTGTCTAATGTGGAGTTCTATGCCAAAACACAACTCGGTGTTGGATCTAGTTCCCAAACAAATATGACAGACTCAGAACTTAGGCTTGTTTCATAGGAATTACGTAGTAACACTGTTCGAGATAGAGCTTAGGGCTGTCCTATTATCTGATGTACTTATATACCCAGCGTGAAGGAGTCTTCTGTTTATACTGATACCAATTGATCACATACTTATCTCTTCTCTAAAGAGGACCGCCGTTATTGAACCTGTTGAAACCTAGAATATACAATGTTAGTATAAGCTAAATAGCAAATGAGTCATACATTTACCTGGCTGTTAGTGTTTACCAGCTAGGTAGAACATTTGTGTGGTGTTAGGTTGAAAGAGATGTCAGTCACATGATGCTGACCTTCCGCCATTAAACGGGAGGCAGGAAGACAGATCACTCACTTCTACCAGGGTACCAGTAGAGGACACTTGCACCGTCGTTGAAGAACTAGATCACTCGTGGACTGCTAATTATGTATATAAGATAGTAATAGTTCGTTACAGTTTTCCTTATGCAATTTTACTCTAATTAATAGATCAATAATTATTTCATCTCAACAGAACCATCCTCACCTATTACTCACTTTGCCTTTTCCGTGAACCCTATACCTTACGCTGACTTTATACCTCCTCCTCATAGTAATCACCTCTATAGTCCATACCTATACCCACTCGTACCCTGCGGAATACCAATAACATAGTGCCTTGATAAATGTCTAGCACTCGATTCTTGGCGTGCCTATTCTAGGTTCCCCTTGTGGTCTGCTTGGATTTACTGCATGGAGACAGTATCATTCTCTTGACAGGTAGTCCTGATAGTCCGACGTGTTGGACCCTCCTCTAATTCATGTTGAATCGTTACAATAATACTACAAGATACTTACCGTCTAACATTCGGATAATACTTTATACGAATGACAGAATCCAATTGCTTTTTTTTGCATTAAATTTTACTTGCGTATGTAGCTATCTAATTATGACACAATATCAAAGAAAAGTACAGAAAAAATGACTCAATTTACAAGAGGAGCACTCATGCCTCGGATTTCATTTGCAAGTACCACCGCGAAGTTATGGCGGATTTTCTTCACCCCAAGTCAACCCTCATCCGTGAATACCCATCCAAGGGATCGTCTCAAAAACCCTGAGTTATCCAGACATGCCTCCATCCATCTTTCAACTTTTCTCCGCGCGATATGTGGTATAGGCGTCTCTTTCCCAAGTGGAGTAGGTTCCCAGGCCTCTCAAACTATACCAGAAAACGCCAGCAGGAGGCGGACCACGGCATCTTCTATCCTTTACTTGTGATTATGGTGTCAGCTGCACTCTCGTAAGCGAAGTCTTGGCGCGCACAAAGCTCAATTCGTAAAAATCATTGCCAAAATTCGAAATTTCACGCCCGACGAAAACGTACCCCTCTTCTGCATCATCTTATAAACTTGTCCTGATCCCTCTCACGTCCATCCCAAAGAGCTATCTCCCAGATTTGTGCTCCACGCTTTGCTTCCTCCGTCGGGTGTAAATATCGGCGTGGGCGTGCATTTGATGACCAGCTGAGGCCAGAGAATAGTCGACGAGAGTTGTAGTCATGGGAATGAGGATGAGGATGAGGATGAGGATGAGGATGAGGATGTACTTGGTCGTACTTGTAGACTTGATGAGGCTTGGGTACGAGTCAAACTCGTTGTGAGCGAAAAAAAGACGTGGTGGAGTAATTTGAAATATTGACTCGTAGGCCAACTTCTTTGATTTTGCGTAGTTTGTCTTAACTTGGCTCTGGGAGAATATGTTACTCCCAGGTTCGTAGAGGACACAGCGTACAGGTGTTCAGCCTTGCCCTCCCCACTTGCCTTAAGTCTATACTATTCCCTTTTTCAAGAACCACCAATTCCAAATAAACTAGACTATAGAAGCTATTTTGACAGTGTTAGTTTTTTACAGTATTAATAGAGCGCTGTATAAATATCTATTTTTTCTTGATTTGTAATTATCCAAACCAAACCCCAAATTCAAAAAAACAGCATCTATAAGTTTCGCCCGATATCCATCGTCTCTCTCATACTTATAGGTAAAGAACGAAAATTAGTCTTCCTCTCCGCATTTTTTTCATGTAATTGTCTACCACAAGTGATTATTGGCTTGGGCAACATGTGTAGACAACTGGCTAGGCACAGGTCCATCAACTGATATGCTTAACTCGGCTAGATTATCTTTAGTGCATTGGCCCCGCTTTTGGTAGATTGGTAGATGGTTTGTTAGAAAATTTCCCGGCATGAACGAAATCACCAACTAGCTCACGATTGGCTGGGCACAGGTCAATTAACAAAGGAACGAGGACTTTCTGGGGCAAAAATCATGATAATTATTTGCAGGAAAAGTCTCACAGAGTTTTGGGCTGCCAAAAAGTGATTCATCTAATTTAGTGTTAGACTCAATTGAATAATACAAATACTATCATACCTCTTTATAGCCATTAACTAGTGACACAATTTGATACTGAGATCTACGTGCAAGGTGCTCTATCAGTCTCCACAAAAAAATATAGTTAATTCCTAGGTACTATGCAGAGAAGTTTCCACGCAAAGAGTTCATTGCCGAACTAAATTTTTTGTTAGGAAAATAATCAGCTCGATTTGAACGCGTGCCAAATTACGAATAGAAAACGACTACAAATCGTATCTAAAATGGGAATCCCGCAATCTAATGAGCGTAGTGATGAAGCTTCTACAAGCAAGTTATCAAAAAAATGCTACTACGACGTGCTAGGGGTCGAACGTCTTGCGTCCAGTGATGAGTTGGCGAGACATCTCTCAGGTTACCCTATTCAGGCTAATATTCCGACAGCATTAAGAAAGCATTTCGTAGAAAAGCCCTAGAACTTCACCCTGATCGGAATTTTGGTGACACGGAGACTGCTACCGCAAAATTTGCAGAGGTACAAACTGCCTACGAAATCCTCTCTGACAGTCAAGAACGTGCTTGGTATGACTCTCACCGAGAATCGATATTAAGGGACGAGTCATTTACATTCACCGAAAAAAAACACGATGCTAGCGTTAAATATAGTTGTGCTGACGACATCGCAAGTTTGATCAGCAAATTTAATAGGGGAATTCCTTTTACTGACGCTGCCGATGGATTTTTTGGAGCATGTAGGCAAATATTCTCGACGCTTGCGAAAGAAGAAAATTCTGCTTGCTTGATGGAGGGACTTATGCCTGTTCCATATCCTGATTTCGGTATGGCAAAAGATGACTACATCAACGTCGTGAAACCATTCTATCAAGAATGGCAAGGATTCTCAACCCAAAAATCTTTCACTTGGAGGCACAAATACCGACTATCTGATGCTCCAGATAGAGCTACGCGACGTATATTTGAAAGAGAAAATAAACGGCTTCAGGATGATGGAATTATGGAGTTTAACCAGGCTGTCCGAAATCTAGTGGCTTTTACTAGAAAGAGGGACCCCAGATATATTCCAAATACACAAACAGAAGAAGACCGACAGAAGTTTCTCCGCTCCGCCGCTGCTGCTCAAGCAGCACGATCAAAGGCCGCAAATAAAGCAAAGCTAGCCGACTATGTTCTTCCAGAATGGGCAAAGGCAGAAGACCCAGAAGATATCGAAGAAAATTCGAATTCTGAAGATTCTAAAGTTGAATGTATTGAATGTGTTGTTTGTAAAAAAGTCTTCAAAAGTGAAAAACAATATGAGGTCCACGAGATGAGTAAAAAACATACCAAGGCTGTGCGACAGCTCAGACGAGAAATGAAGGACCAGAGTGAATTTTTAAATTTGGATGGATCATCAAATACTATTCTTGACACCACAATTGATTCCTCTAAAGAAATTAAGACCCCAGCAGATACATCCGACGAGAAACCTTTGATCGAAGATGAAATTTTGAAAGATGAGACTACTAAAATTCCTGACTTGGTTGAGCTCAATTCGGATATCCAAAATCTTAGTCTCGAAGAAACCCATGAGTCTTCTGCTTCCCAGGATGAATCAATCATGCCACCTAAAACTGCAGAAGATTACCCGAGCGAAAGTATCACGAAAAAAATTGGAAAAGCAAAGTTAAAGCGAGCCAAAAAAAAAGCTAAAGAAATCTCTAATGCACAACAAAATTCTAATGTGAGAACAATCGTTCAAAATCTCAATCCCCTACATTCTAATATACAGCAGTATATATGTAAAAGCTGCCACGAAACATTTGTATCTCGAACCAAACTTTTCCTTCACATAAAGACAAGCGGTCATGCTCAGCCTCTTTAAAATATTCAAATTCAAGTTAATACTCTCCAGAAAATAAAGAAATTAAGATTTTCAATAGCTTATTTTTATCAAAATACCCTGAGTCATCGAGGCACTCTGGAGCTTGCCACTCTCTTATCATTCTAGACTTAATTATTATTACTAGGTAAAATAATAGTGTCTTGGAGATTCAACATACAAAGGAAGAGGTTAGTCGTAAAATTCACCTAGTATTCCTGTCTATTTCATTTTTAATCACTCATTTATGATTATAAGCTCATTTTCGAACTGCTGACGTAATAAGTAGTTTTTTAGATGCAGTATGAGCTCCTAAGAGCAAATCACTTCTCATAAAGTTTTGGTAAAATTTGGTGCGCACATGAAAATCTGATCCTCATCGGAGGAGTAGCTGGACATACCAGAATAGATACTCATCATTTAACACTCATACGCTAGATTTTACAGCACAGTCATGCACTACCATTCTCAAAGCAGAATTTGGGATTGGGGCAATTAAAAATTGTCGCCTGCTAACTACTACCACCCAATGCTTCAAGCTTAATCTTTTCCAATCTCATCAGTCGCTTTATTACATTGCGATCATGACGTCATCAATTCGTATTCATCAGTGGCCCATGGTAATAAAAACTCTTTATGAGCCCAAATCTAGCAGCATGGCAATTTATTTGTAGAGACTAGATGAAAGAAAATTTTTTGTTCGTCGACTAAGGCTATTAGGTGAAGCATGTTGTAAGTAAGCGGGTCTACTTCTACAGCAAGGAGACTACATTGCAATCACTCAGAAACTTCCTACAATCTTTGAGAGATAATTCCTAAGCACTATCGGGTTGTGGAGACACGCTGGGTTCAAGAGAATCTTTTCGTATAATCCTACATTCATTATTATCGAATAATGGGGAAACGAAAGTAGAATTTTCTGTATGTAACAAAACTCATTCCCACTACGCAAGAAGAAATGAGTAGCTAACAATCACAATTAAACAAAACTTCTCCGTACATCTTCAAGTGATCTGATGAAATAGCATTCAATAATTTTCAAACGGAGCCGTAGCATCGGTACAGAGTGGAATAACAATAGAGAAGACCATAGAGCAGTCGGGAAATCTGGGGTAAATTTCATACGTTTGATGTCAGTATGAGGCGCCAAAGGTTTGCCCGAAGGAACCACTAGTATCAGAAAAAACTAAAGGTGACTTGCAGTGATTCGAATGTTTTTGTTGTGGAGTCTAACTGAGGGTGATGAGTTATGATTTCATAGACTAAGCCGTAGTTGAAGTCCATTTCCATTCATTCGCTTCCAATAGTATGGGAATTAGGGTCGTTCCAGTATAATAAGCAGTGTTAGACGATGAAGAATGAACGCCGGTCAAAGTTACCCCTGCGAATCTAGATAAGGAAGATTACTCAGGAACCGAGATTAGTCTTCAATGAGGCGTGTTCCATGCAGTTGACTTGTTTTTGCACGGAATCTAGACTTTCAAGGATTTCACGATCATACATATCATCGATTTCTACCTTCTTCGCCCCAATTACGAATCACACATGTGCTCAAGCCTATTACATGATCGTTTCAAAAATAACCGACTTGCATTATAGTATTGACTTTTCACAAATTATTTTCTCCAGACTCAGCCACTCGGATGCTCTTCTGACCTGTGCTTACGGGCAGGAAAAGTTCTCTGATCAGTTTTTCTTTTGCCGGCTCGCACGAAGCCGGGCCGGCCTCCGTAGCGGAACTAAACATCCAGCACCAGGAATTCCATGGATTACAGGCTCTCCTGAAGGATCAGTCGTCTTTAATAAATGGCTTCATTATGTCAGTTTCTTCGAAGAAATCCAATGTCGACACTAACCTCTACTCTGTTCGACTAATACCTGACAGGCTACATCGTTAGACAATTGGTGTAGGTTGATAAATAAAATTTCCTATAAATATAAATGTTTGATTTCATTTAGCCCGTTCAGGTACTCCATGGCTCCACGTAAGTATATCTAGCTATAATATTTACAAGGTAGGGAACCAATTCGGTAAAAAAACCCCAAAACTGTCTATCTCATGTCTATTGGTTTTTCTGAAGTTTCCCACAGGAAGTGTGTTTACACTGCTCATCCAGTGTGAAGACCGTCTTATCCTTTTCTCGATCGCGTAATCCTCTCACCGACTGCTATCTCAACTTCTTCTGCAAGCTGGAACTGTTCAAGCCAACCATTACTAAGTATCCACCCTGTAATTCTCTTCATGTCATCCGCACTGTTCATCATAGCTTCAAAAGACCTATCTCTTGCCTGTCGCAGCACCTCCCTTCTTCCCTTAGCCCACTGAGATCAAGCCAGGACCATATGTTTCGCGTTTAGTGACAGATATCAACACTGATATTTTGGATTTGCCACTCCAGGGACCTTTCTTTCATAAAGATAAGCGTTGAGGCCAATATGTTCACTTTTCATCTGTATTTCAATACTGCTTTGGGCCCTGCTCAGGTTCGGTGGATGCTAGAGAGTGTTGTTATTGGTTATTTCTCTGCACGTTCTCTTGTCGGTGATGACACTTGCTGCTTTCCAATGTTCTGGGTCTGCCGATGCTTGATGAGAAAAAAATTCCATGTGCTTTCTCACTCCAGCAATGCTACTAAATTACCTGCGTCTTTCTGTCTGCGCCTCACTTTTTCGTTCCTGCAGATTTTGGTTGTAAGTATATATACATATCGTTTGTAACTTTCTGAAAATCAAAAGTCTCAGTGGAAGAGCACTTTTAACGTCTTTTGATGCTTTGGAGCGCACAGCAGGGTGGCATTGGCCCATGGATTACATGTCGAGCTTGGTAGAAAAGCGCTGGCACGTTAGGTAGTTGAAATAGACTGAGCTGACCAACACAATACCTAACGCTTGTGCTGTGAGATGGCACGACGTTAGATTAAAAAACAATCAACAAGCGCTCTTATGCTCATCTCTTTTAGCAGCAATACACACAACCGCTACAATTTTCTAGTCAATATTCAATTAAATGTAGCACATGAATTAATAAGCGTCTCTATTCTATTATTCATATGTTCTGGTAGAGAATATGGCGTTCCCGTAACTCTGGACCCTAAGAGGCGGACCCAGAAACATGCAAACAATACTGGACGATCACAGCCCCTCGCTGAAGCTTTCAATTGATCAGTAGAAATGTTGGAATTTGCCCCATTTCTTACAATAATCGACATTCCTTGCAAATATGAACAACTTTCCTACATGCTGCCTAATACATCCTGTATTCTACATCCTGTATTCTACATTTTAGTTTCTTTTCGCTGTTGAGATGTTCTCTCATGCATTTGCATGTGCGGGGTAGTATGATACTAGATGCAAATGCAGTGAGAGATATAGTCATGTTTACTTTGCGACAAATAGGATGGCGTTAATACTGCGGGGTCAGTGCTGTCTTATTTCCCGCACAATGGTTTCGTGGTCAGCTATGCTGAAAACCTTTTACCGTAATAGTTATTGTTTGCATACCCACTTCTACTCTAGGATATGCGGACATAAATTCGCGTTTTACATGTAACTTAGAACTTCAATGGAAACAATATTCTTTGAGCTACACTTTCTGCTCCTCTTACTATGAAATCGCATCAGATTATGAGACCAATCTAACTCTAGCTAACTGAGTATAGCCGTCTATTTTCTCGTTCGGACTCAATTCTTTCGATTCCGCCCCATCTCCGATACGATGTAACAGTCCATCGATCGATCAGTTCTGCAGAACCCTCACGTCTACTTTCTTTGTCGATTATCGCCTGCCGAAGTCTTTCACACTTTCCCGGCGCAATTCTCCCTCCATACGTTCCCAACTTTTCGCCTATTTATACCTTCCGTCTGTTGTACAGGAAGAGTTTTTTGGTCTAGGGATATTCTTCGTTGGAGGAGCCGTGGCACTTTCTCGGCATCTTTCTCCCTCCAAATCTTCCCGAGTTCTCAACCGTGTGTGCCTTCTGTCTGGTTTAGCAGAAGAGTTATTTGGTTGAGGGGGTACTTTTATTTTGGAGGAGCCGTGATACTCATTCTTCAGTCTCAGTTAAGGACTGTTGAAGGTGGTGAATAGAAAAGGAGGCATTATAATTCGACTACTTGTGATTATGGGGTATTTCTTGCACACAAAGTTTGATGGGATATTTACGGGTCGCCTTCTTTTAATCTCTACTTTCTCTCAAGCTGGCCACAGTACCGACTTGAATTTATAGTACTTGGAAGCTTTCTCTTTCTGTTGGGTTGGAACATTTACCACTCGATATCACTTACCGAATACCTTCCTTCGGATACATTCTCTAACAAGTTGGCACTTCAACCACTAATTCTTACATTTCGGATTTACTTTTCTTCAAGCTGGCACTTCCACCACTTGACCTATTTACTTGTTGCCATTTTTTCTGCCGCCAATGCCGCTCGAGGCACAATTCTACAGCCAGCTGTCCCTTTCTCATCCACCTCTCGGGACCTCTTCCAGTCTCCTCGCCGTCCCTCGTTGGAATTTCTTCTAAGGCCACTCATGCTTATAGGTGTTTCCCTCCGGACGTAATGTTTTCCCCCCACACATATGTTGCTTGAGTTGGGTTGCTGGATATTATGGTTTCACCTGAGTTGGTCGATCTTGTCGGTCAGGAGGAGTATTGGAAATGGAGAGACTGAATGTTGTGGACGTACGGGCCCTCCATTTCTTCTAGGTTCCCGACACGATCTTATGTGTATTTAAGAGGTTGGAGTAGGTAATATGGTAGCGCTTCAGGCTACCTATTGGATATATGAGCGGCTGTATGGCGTGGGCACAAGGAGGTTATTGGGGGTTTTCTATGCCTAGATGGCGCCACACTCGTTTATGCTGTGGCTTAGGCTCTGTGTCGCTTACACTTGTACTTGTAGCGCACATCTCCCACACTTTTAGCTTTAATCCGAACATGACACTCTTTTAGTCAACTTCTACTTTCGTTCCATGAATATTGCGCCCATCACATTGCGCGATA